TGGTCCAAAAGGATTGCTTGCCTTTATGGCACAGGAAGTGGGTGGTGGGTGGGCTTTAGGAACTGCCCTGTGGCTGTGATACAATCCCCATTGTTTCCAGCTAGTTGGAGGAGGATTCCTTTAGTCCTTGTGACAGGATAACCTGTAGATGTGGAAGTATAGGGTTAAAACAAGAGACCCAGCTCTGTTTGAGCTTCTAACTGTTTTCTTTGAAACAACTTCCTTCCAACTTTTGACTAGCTATCTTGCCCCACCTTAAAACATAAGTCTGAGACAAGCATTTAGCAAGTAAAGCTGTCCAAATGGCATTTGGATAAACCTTTTCTTATCCAGCGAATCTGACTCGTCCACACCCTATTAAAGGCAGAGGAGCAAGGATATTAGGAAAGATGGAAACTCACTTCCATCAGAAACCATCAGAATAACAAAATAACGGAACTGGAAGGGAGCAGGGGTGAAATCCAGCAGGTTCTGACAGGTTCTGGAGAACCAGTTGTGGAAATTTTGAGTAATTCAGAGAACCGGCAAATACCACCTCTGGTTGGCCCAGAGTGGGGTGGGAATGGAGATTTTGCAATATCCTTCCCCTGGAGTGGGGAGGGGATTTTGCAGCATTCTTCCCCTGGAGTGGGGAGGGAATGGGGATTTTGCAGTATCCTTCCCCTGGAGTGGGGTGGGAATGGAGATTTTGCAATATCCTTCCCCTGCCATGTCCACCAAGCCACACCACGCCCACCAAGCCACGCCCACAGAACCAGTAGTAAAAAAATTTGCATTTCACCACTGGTGGGGACCAAAACTGGAAGCAGTATTCCAAGTACGGTCTTACCAGTGCACTGTAACTATCCCACCATATTAATCCCACCCTAGTGGATTGGCAGGGTGATGTGGTGCGGTGGCCTAGAGAGGGAGCTCTCGCCTCACAATCAGGAGGCTGTGAGTTCGATCCTAGGTAGAGGCAGATCTTTCTCTCTCTGGGCACACTGAGAATGTATCTGCTGAATAAAACTCCATACTGGCAACAGGAAGGGCATCTGGCCAGTAAACACTCAGCTCCATTCAGTTGCCCAGACTCCACCCTGCAAGGGATTATGGGGTCATTAAAAAATGATGATGATGATGATGATGATGATGATAGTGAATTGGCAGGAAATAAAGGCAACTTGGGACTTGCTCTGTGCATTTAACTACCTGCAGAAACTAGTTTGTAGAAGCAAATGATTCATGTCCTTCAAAAGTGAACGTAAAAGGGGGTATTGTCAACTGATTCCTTGGCGGTGACTTTCTTGAAGCTTGCACAGAACTGCTAAATCTACCCAGGTTAAGTTGAGTCAATATTTGAAATTCATGAATGCAAGCCACAGGTGCCAAGTGCCAGATGTTTAAATAAACCCAGAACAAAGGTTGCATGAGTAATAATGTCCATAAAAAAGATCAATAGGAGTGTTTTCACATCTTCACTTTAAACAAAAAAGCCACGTGAGATTAATATTGTCTGCAAAGGGATTGAAAGTTCCAGTTTCTACAGCATTAGATCTTCCAGATGTGTTCTTTCAGAACACATCTCTCTCTCCCCTCTCCCCCACTCTCTCCCTCTCTCTCTGTATCTCTATGTCTCTCTCTCTCTCTCTCTCCCACTCTCTGTATCTCTCTGTCTCTGCCCTGGCCGCTTCTCCATTCCCCGCCATCGCCCTTACCTTCTCAGGTAGAGGCGAGGAGTGTGATCTGTCCCCGTCCACACACACACACAAACACAGCCAGCCGAGGGTTAAAGAAGCACTTGGCACACACCCAGGTCTTTATCTCCAACTTGGCAGCGATATACACACCGTCTGCCAAGTGCTTTTATTTCCACAGAAACAGAAAGATAATATACTCAGCGTACAAGAGTCCAACAGAAATAACATTCCTCTCAGCAGTTTCGGACGATGCTTTAGTGACTATCCAAGGTTTATTTTTGTTCGTCACAGGGATCACTGGCCACCACCCTCTATTATATAGTCTCTGGGGTGTGGTCCAGTGACTCAGTTCTAATCCCTAGCACGCCTCCTGAGCTGCTGCAATCATTTATCACGCCTTCGGAGGCGTGCGTCCAGGAATGACGTCTCTCCTTCACTCTCATCCGAGACACCTGTCTCCCGGCTAATCTCCTCTCCCTCGGCCGGCTCCTGAGACAGTGCCAGAGGGGAGGGGCCTGGAGAGGGAGGCCTGGCTGACTCCTCTTCCTCATGCTCGGAGCTTTCTTCCTCCGATGGGATAGGCTCAGAGGGCGGGGCCACAACAGAGTGACTGGGAGGGGGAGGGGGAGGGGCAGGGACAGCCAATGGTGGGATCACTTGACAGGGAGCCACAGCAGAGGGCCCAAAGAGCCGCACGCAGCTCCGGAACCACAGGTTGCTGACCCCTGCTCTAGCGTATAAAATAAGAGCAACCACCTACACCCTTCCAGCACTGATGATATTACCTAGTTTGGTATTGAAATGTCTACAAAGAAACCCCCCCAAACTCAGAGAGAACCGAGCGTCCCGCACACCAGGAAAGGGTTTGTGATCCTGCCTCGGGGGGAGATTCAAGTAGAGAAAGCATTGTTTTCTTTCAAGAGGTTATAAAGCTACTTTCAACGTAGCCGAGGTCTTTGTGATAAGGAGGCCTGTAACGTGTCAGCCAGAACAATGCAAAACGGAGCGGATGTCAAATAAATCTATAATAAAGGCACAGAGGGGTGATTTTAGTTAATGTTATTGATGGGGAAACTTGAACTAGAAAGCCAGGATGTTTTCTGAAATAAATAGCATAATCCTGAGAACGTTTTCTAAACACCTGCTAGCTTGTTTTGGTTTTTAATAGCTCATTATGCGGTTCGCATCTAACAAGCTCATTCAAATGACAGTGGAACCGACAGAGTACAAGCTGTTTAATCACTGGCAATTTCGTTCCTAAACTGATGTAATGTGATGGCTCCAGGGTTTTTTTGGGGGGTGGGCAGGATTCGGACAGGGCAGAACACATATATATATATTTCTCCCAGCATCGTGGCTTTATTCTCCAGAAAAATAAAGACACACGCTTTTGATTAGTCTCATGAAATAGATTTTATTCTTAATAGTCACAAATATGAATTCCAAGAGCTGGGTTCCTAAATGAATGAGATTCTGTTCCACAGATACTGGATGTACAGTAGAATAGAATAATAGAATAGAATAGATTAGAATAGAAATAGAATAGAATAGAATAGAGAGTAGAATAGAATAGAAATAGAATAGAATAGAATAGAATAGAATAGAATAGAATAGAATAGAATTTTTTATTGGCCAAGTGTGATTGGACACACAAGGAGTTTGTCTTTGGTGCATATGCTCTCTGTACATAAAAAGAAAAGATACATTAGTCAGGAATCACAAGGCACAACACTTAGTGATAGTCATAGGGTACCAATAAACAATCAAATCATATTAGGAAACAATCAATATAAATCTTAAGGATACAAGCAACAAAGTTACAGTCATACAGTCATAGGTGGAAGGAGATGGGTGGTGGGAACGATGAGAAGATTAATAGTAGTGCAGACTTAGTGAATAGTTTGACAGTGTTGCGGGAATTATTTGTTTAGCAGAGTGATGGCGTTCGGGGAAAAAAAACTGTCCTTGTGTCTAGTTGTTCTGGTGTGCAGTGCTCTATAGCGTCGTTTTGAGGGTAGGAGTTGAAACAGTTGATGTCCAGGATGTAGATATTTTCACAGTCCTCTTTTTGACTTGTGCAGTATACAGGTCCTCATTGGAAGGCAGGTTGGTGGCCATTGTTTTTTCTGCAGTTCTAACTATCTGTTGAAGTCTGTATCTGTCTTGTTGGGTTGCAGAGCCAAACCAGACAGTTATGGAGGTGCAGATGACAGACTCAACAATTCCTCTCTAGAACTGGATCAGCAGCTCCTTGGGCAGTTTGAGCTTTCTGAGTTGGCACAGAAAGAACATTCTTTGTTGTGCTTTTTTGATGACGTTTTTGATGTTAGGTGTCAAGGAAGTGGGAGGAAAAGGGAATATCATTCCTCTTAAGCAGCTGTTTAGAGAACAGAATGTAAAACGGGCAATGGCTGTGTGCTGATATTGTAATGCATTTAATGAGTCATCTAACTTAGGAGTTGCATGCACACAACCCGACAAGCTTGGATAACTTTGATTAGTTTTGGCTTACATAATGTTGGGAAAAACCAGCCCATCTGCTTTATCAATAGTCTGTTAGGGCAAACCCAACGAATGTTTTGTGTTCCAACTTGCTGTTTTAAGAGAGCTTCTTAGAATTGCCAGCTTGGAAATGAAACAATTGACCCCTTCTAGGATCATATGTTGATAAAGAAGAGAATATTCTTCTTTACTATTTTGGGTGTGGACAGAATGTTTAAGTGAATAAATCATATAGTTTTAAGCCAGAAAGTCCTAAGGTTTAAGTCTGTGATTCTTCTCCCTGCCCCACCCCAAGTATCATGTTTAACTGAGTAGTTGTTGATAGTTTGGAGCACCTTGGTGCAGGGGTGGGCTTCAAAAATTTTAGCAAGGGGTTCTCTGCCTAGTTGCTGGGTGGGCGGGGCTATGGTGGGTGTGGCCTAGTCAGCCTTCTGCACCACAGCAGGGGGGGGGACACTGATGTTTTTGCCCTCCCCAGGCTCCAGAGGCTGTTTCCGGCCTTCCCGAACTTCCCGTAGGCCTGTTTTTCACCTCCCCGAGCCTCCGTGCGCACCCTGCACTTACCTCTATCCAAAACAGGCCATGTGGGGACTCCTGGGAGGGGAGAGGTGGGGTGGGGTGGGGTGGGCGGGGCCAGCCAGGAGTGGGATTTGGGGCTTCTCCGAACTGCACAGAATCTTAGCTAGAGGTTCTCCCGAACCCCTACAAACCCCCAGCAGCCCACCCCTGCCTCGGTGGTATTGAAGAAATGGTTGCAATCTTTCTTAACAGACATCAGTATCATGCAGTATCTAAAATCTTTTCTTCTTCCCGTTTTAGGTCTAAGAGAAGGAATAAAAAACCCCGCAAATATGATATTATCACGACTCCAGCCGAACGGGTGGAAATGGCTCCCTTAAATGAAGAGGATGATGAAGATGAAGATGCTACAGTGTTTGATATAAAATATAGGTAAGGAGAAAGAAGGATGGACACACATGCCTGGAGATTTCTGGGGGTGCTTCATTTTGGGGCTATTATATGATCCCAAGGAAAGATACAACTTCATTAAGAAGGTGCCTTTTGAATCTGATTCCACTGAAGGGCCCCATGATGGACATCAGGGTAGGATCAGTTATGTATACCAACCCAGAGAAATGGTTATCCAATCTCTTCTAAAGAACATCCAGTGATGGAGCACTCAACAACTTCTGAAGGCAAGCCGTTCCACTGATGAACTGTTCTCACTGCCAGGAAATTTCTCCTTTTTAGGTTAATTCTCTCCTTGATAAGTTTCCATCCATTGCTTCTTGTCCTGCCTTCAGGTGCTTTGGAGAATAGGTTGACCCCTCCTCTTCTTTGTGGCAGCCCCTCAAATATAGGAAGATTTCTATCATGTCACCCAGTCCTTCTTTTCATTAGACTAGACATGCCCAATTCCAGCAACCGTTCTTCGTATTTTTTAGCTTCAAGGCCCCAATCATCTTCGTTGCTTTTCTCTGAAATCTTTTTAGAATCTCAACATCTTTTTTATATCGTGGCGACCAAAACTGAGTGCAATATTCCAAGTGAGATCTTTATTGTTGTTAATTGCAAAGTCGTGTCCAACCCATCGTGACCCCATAGACAACATTCTCCAGGCCTTCCTGTTCTCTACCATCCCCTGGAGACTATTTAAGCTCACGCCTACTGCTTCAGTGACTCCATCCAGCCACCTCGTTCTCTGCCATCCCCTTCTTCTTTTGCCCTCAATCTTTCCCAGCATCAGGCTCTTCTCCAGGGAGTCCTTCCTTCTCATTAGGTGGCCAAAGGTTTTGAGTTTCATCTTCAAGATCTGGCCTTCTAAAGAGCAGTCAGGGTTGATCTCCTCCAGGACTGACCGGTTTGATCGCCTTGCAGTCCAAGGGACTCGCAGGAGTCTTCTTCAGCAGTGTGATCTTACTGGGGCATTATAAAATGGTACTAACACTTCACATAATCTTGATTTATCTTTTCAGGTAGCTGCAGCACACTACCGGCTCATATTTAAGTGATTGTCCACTAGGATTCCCAGATCCCTTTATATATCCTTTATAACTTTTATAGGCATAAGAAAAGTTTTGTTGAATATTTTATACATTGCTCCTCATTCTGTCAAAGTTCCTGTGGCAGGCCTGGTCCGTTTCGAAGTTGACACATACCCTTTAAGCAGAAGAAAAATCTGCATCTTGGGCCACTTTTGAATTGCTGATTGTTTATGAATTTTAGTATTTTTAAGGCATGCTTTTAAGCGTATATATCCTCTCCCTTGAGGACTGCCAGAGGAGAAAGACAGGGAATGAAGGCATTGGGGAAAGAAAAAAACACTTCTATTCGGGAAGGCAACATGAACATATTTACACATCTGCCCCATGCCGTTTCTTCGTTGAGATATGCCACTCGTCACAAGGTCTGACAGTGGGTGACCTTCCTAAGCATCTGAAGCATGTATTAGTTGGCTGTCCACCCACCAGATGGCCATTCCCATGACAGAGAGATGAAGAGTATATTGAAGGAATATAACGCCCATATAAAGAATTGGCGAGTTTAAGCAAGAGTTCCCACCCCACTCCAAAGGAATGATACTGTAAAATCCCCGTTCCCTCCCCACTCCTGGGGGAACGATATTGCAAAATCTCCATTCTCACCCCACTCTGGGACTAGTCAGAAGGTAGTATTTACCGGTTCTCCGAACTACTCAAAATTTCCGCTACCGGTTCTCCAGAACCTGTCAGAACCTGCTGGACTTCACCCCTCAATAAACCCATCTCCCTGAACAGGGAAAAAAAATATTGCTTGGAGCCAAGCAAGTCATACAAAGTTGAAGGTATTTCTCTTTAGGTGTGAACAGCTTAGCTGTGTTCCCCAGTAGACTTTCTCTCTATTCAGTTGACACAAAAGCAGTTTGGATTAGCCCTGGAGGGGATTTGCGTGGGAGAACCATCTAATCCCCCAAATGAGCTCTCTAGCTCAGTTCTAATTCTTAATTATGATGGGTGGCTTTCTAGGTTGAAAATCTTTCTTAGTTCAATGCTGTTGCATCTTCTAAATGACGCTAATTTGGCTGTATCTCTTTTCATTGTTTTCCTCAGGTGAGGTTCTTGGACCGGACTTTTCGGGAATGTTGTCTCATGTAGAAAATGATGCAAGAACTTTGGAACCAAGAGGGAGATGGAGAGATGGAGAATCACGATGACATTTTGATCTACTACTCTTTTAAACAGAAAAGAGTGGATGTCGGATTTGACATTTGGCCCTTGCCCCGTTCCTAATAAATACGGCTGTCACGTTCCTGGATGAATGACCTGACGAACTGAAGGACCTCTTCTTTATGAACTTCTTTTTCATTCTAAAGACAATCCTTCTGATTTACCCTAGCTTCAGATGCCACCCGCAAATTAGAGGACTGAGGTCAGCCACAAGCATTCGACAATTCAGAAGCAGCCAAGACATTCTTTGCTCAAAATATTAAAAGGAGACAGATGGATTCTGATTGCATTCTGGGATCGGTTCGGAGTTGGCTAAAATCTTTGCTCTTCTTGTTTGCAACTTGGAACCCGTATCGGTTGTGCTGAAATTGCTTAGCAAGGTTGTGTATGCATATTTGTGTTGGGGGAGGAGAATGTTGATGGGTAACCCTTTCAGTAGATAGCTCTCATGCCTTGGTATTCATGAGGACCAGTGCGCTGCTGTATTAATTTACAGTAAGTTTTTACAGGGAGTTTTGTATTTTTTTTTCCCCCCACCAGAAGGTGAATTCTGATAGCAGGAGAAAGCAAAATTCAGTAATCAATTTTAGAAGAAAGGAATTTTTTTTAAAATCCCCTGTATCTCCCACCCTCGCGGGGAGAACTGATTTTTTTTTACATATGCACTATTTTGCTTTCTATAGCCTCCCATCATTTTTTTCATCTCAAGGCAATTAGCAATCGGATGACTAAATCGGAAGGAGACGTTTTGCCTTCATGCCAGACTAGTCCCCATCTGTTCTCTCCAAGAGAAACTTTCCCAACCTGTTTTCTCTCAAGAAATGTTGGTGTGTTTCTTTCTTTCCTTTTTTTTTTATCTGACTGGCAATTAGGACAGCTGAACCTCCGCATATCGAGTGTCTTCGGCGCCAATCATTCCATCTTGGTTTGAACCTTTCTTAGGGGTGGATTTTTTCCCCTTTTAATTATATCTATATACAAATTATATATTAATTTGTAATATATACAAAATTAATTTGTATATTAATTATATACAAATAAATATAAGGCAAAGTAGATAGTGGGGTTCCCCCCCCTTTAAACGCTTATTTAGCACCACTGATAAAACGGCCCATTTAACCTCAGAATTTAGAATCATAGGGCTTGAAGAGACCTTGGAAGTCTTCTAGTCTAATCCTCTGGTCAAGGCACAAGACCTTATACCAGTGATGGCTAACCTTTTGGCCGCCGCGTGCCAAAAGTGTGGGGAGCGTGGGGGAGGGTTGCACATGCATGTGCCCACACCCATAATTCAATGTGCTCCATCCCCCGCCCATGCCCGCACGACCCCACCCCGCGCTCTCCACAGTTTTGGCATGTGATGGCACGGTAGGCCTGTTTTTTACCCTCCCCAGGCTCTAGAGGCTTTCTTGGAACCTGGGGGGGGGCAAAACGGCCTTCCCCACCCCCCTGAAGGCTCTCTGGAGGCTGGAAACGGCTTGTTTCCTGACTTCCGATGGGACCAGAAAACCCGTTTTTCACTCTCTCCAGGGTCCAGAGGCTTTCTAGGACCCTGGGGAGGGTGAAAATGGTCTCCTCCCCGGAGGCCCTCTTCAGACCCTCTGGAGGCCGGAAACGGCCTGTTTCCTGACTTCCGGTGAGCCTGGAAGGCTCGAAAATCAGCTGGCTGGTGCACGCATGCGCACTGGAACTGAGCTAGGGCAACACTTGTGTGCCCACCGATATGGCTCCATGTTCCACCTGTGGCATGCGTGCCATAGGTTCGTCATCACAGCCTTATACCTTGCTGGTCAAATGGTTGTCCAGTCTATTTTTGAAAACCTCCAGCGATGGAGCAACCACAACTTCAGAAAGAAAGCTTAATCCGTTGATTAATTGTTCTCAACGTCAGAAAATTTCTCCTTACTTCTAGGGTTGGATCTCTCTTTAACAAGCTTATACCCGTTTGCTTCTTGTCCTGCCCTCTGGTGCCTTAGAAAATACAGTTAAGTCCATCCCGTCTTCTCTGTGAAAGCCTTTAAAATTGCAGGATCCAAGCTGGATTGGTCACTGGGACCCAGAGTTTTGTCTTAAGAGCAGTGGTGGAATCCTTCCGGTTTAACAACCGGTTCAGTGATCGCGTGCTTCGCTGCGCGTGCATGCACAGTTCAACGAAAAATCACCTTCCACGTTAGTGCTAGGGAATTAAAACAGCTGAGGCGCGACAATCCGTTCTGCCGTGCTAATCAGCTGCGAAGATAAAGGTAAGTAAAGCGCAGGGGAGGGTGGGCAGCCCCAGCTGATGGTTGGAACAAACCGATTTGCTGCCAGCTGATTGTCAGCTGTCGCCCGCCCCCCCCCCCCGGGGTAGGAGGCTGAGTAGGCCATGCCTCCATGCCCACGCCCATCCAGCAACTGAGCAGCAAACCGGTGGCTGAAATTTTTCAATCCCACCTCTGGGAAAAACCTTTATCTTTACCTTATTCCTAAAAGCTGTAATAAGGAATATAGAACATAGAATACTAGGGTTGGAAGAATTGAGTTGCTGCTTCTGTGCAAAGTAGACTCTGGGTTGCACCAATTCGGCATCCCAGCTTCCTTCTTCCATGCCGTATCTAAAAGCCATATTTACAGAGAATTCCCTCCCATTGGTAATTTTACGATAACAAAAAGGATCTTTATTCTCTTGATTCAGGAATCAAGCTCTCAGAAAAAAAGGGGAGAAGTTTAATCTCTTAGAAACCTTAGTTAAGATCTGTGTGTTCTTCTCATGCCAATTTTGAACTATCCTGAGCTGTCAGCCACAAGATATTCAACTCTTGCTTCCCTCCTTTGTTGTCCCAGAGATATTGAGCAAAAATATATTTTTTTTTCCCAAGCTCTTCTTTTCTCTTGGGATTTTCTGTTTCTGCTTTTCTTTTGCACGTGTTGAACTCAGTGGAGGGAAGAAGAACATGCAGGCAAAATAGGAATGGCAGAAGTTTAGTAGAGGTGATAGCAAGGGAACCTGCAGTGGGTCTTGCATCACCCTTGAAGTTTCTGAAATCCTTCCTCCCAGACTAGGGGTCAGCAACCTATGGCTCCAGAGCCACATGCGGCTCTTTGGGCCCTCTGCTGTGGCTCCGTGTTGGGTGATCCCATCACTGACTGGCCCCGCCCCTTGCCCTCCCCTACCAGTCACTCCTTGCCTGGCCTGAGAAGATAAGGGTGACGGTGGGGGATGGAGAAGCGGCCAGGGCAGAGACAGAGAGATACAGAGAGAGGGGGAGAGAGAGAGAGACATAGAAAGATACAGAGAGAGAGGGAGGGAGGGGAGAGAGAGAGATGTCAAAAGGGTTTTGTGGTTCCCAGTGTTTTTTAACAACTGGTTCTCTGCCCTAATGACCGGCTGGGTAGGCGTGTTGCGGGGGGGGGAGTGTCATGTGACTGCTGGAAGTGAGTGATATCGAGTTGGCCATGCCCTCCCAGGTTTTGTGGCTCCCGGTGTTTTCTTTTCTGTGGGAAACGGGTCCAAATGGCTCTTTGCGTGTTTAAGGTTGCAGACCCCTGTCCCAGACGTTTCCTTCTTTATTGGTTCTCAAAAACTTATGGATCAACTTTGGAAGTGCTTGTGGTTTTGCACATTGACTTTCTTAAAAAGCAATTGTGTGCGATCTGCCCCCCCCAGCAATAACCCAAATATCTCTCTGTCACTGAGAACGCGGCCCATTCTCGTTGATCCGTGTTGAATCTATGTCTTTCCACCAATGTTTTTATTTCCCGTGGGGGGGGGGGGAACCCTGAAGTTTCAAGGTTAGCTCTTTTATTACTCAATTTGGTGGCTGGCATCCATTTCCCCATCTGCTTCATCCTTTGCAAGCGGATCTTTATTGCCCAAGAGGCTGGATTTCATACCTGCCCATAAAAACATTTCTGAATTTCAGTAACAGAATTAGCTGCATGTAGGAACTGTTCTCCAAGAGATATTTCCTTACGCTGGTGCCCTTTTTAGCCTATGGCTCTGTTATGGAATGATGAGACCAAACAACATTCCTGCGTCAGCCAGAGACAGTTTATTGCGCAGTTTCAGAACCAGATTTGTATCTGCAATTCTGAACCAAGAAGAGCCCTGATACAACTGCTTTTATACATATGCAAGACAAAATATTTTGTGAGCACAGCAGTTTTCCATATATGGTTAACAAACATTTGTTACATTATAATTGACACTTTCTAATTACTAAATTCTTTCATTATTTTCTAGTTCATAAGATTATCTTAGCTAAACAACCTTCCTCAGTTCTGTAATTGCTGATGCGTAGATTCATGACTGCTTTTGGATAATGAGTAACTTTTTGTTTCAGATGGATGTCCTTGCATCCTTGACAGCTAGGCCCCTCAGAAGATATATATTACCAAGAATGGAATTTAGCTGACTTAGTGTAATCTCTAAACAAGCACATTTCTTTCTTATAATAATGTGAATAAAGAGGGTCCTTCAGTGTTCATATAGCTGACCCTGTACTATTCCTACATCATTCACAGTAGCTCTGCTCCCTAGGAATTATAGGATGTGAAAAGCGACACAAGCAGGGGTGGGCTGCTGGGGGTTCGCAGGGGTTCGGAAGAACCTCTAAGCTAAGATTCTGTGCAGTTCGGAGAACCCCCAAATTCCACTCCTGGCTGGCCCCTCCCCTCCCAGGAGTCCCCATGTGGCCCATTTTGGATGCAGGTAAGTACAGGGCCCGCACGGAGGCTCAGGGAGGGTGAAAAACGGGCCTACCGGAAGTTCGGGAAGGCCAGAAACGGGCCCATTTCTGGCCTCCAGAGGGCCTCCGGAGCCTGGGGAGGCCGTTTTTGCCCTCCTGGAGGCTCAAGAAAAGCCTCCAGAGCCCGGGGAGGGCAAAAATGCCCCCTTGCTGTGGTGCAGGAGCCCGACTAGGCCACACCCACCATGGTCACATCCACCCAGCAACCAGGCAGAAAACCCCTTGCTAAAATTTTTGAAGCCCACCCCTGGACACAACTAGAGACCATTTACTCAGGGAAGGAAAGTCAAAAACGGCAAGGAACGTTGTTCATTTGTTTTGCAATTCCTGAGGCTAGCTCACTCCTTCAAACATGGTTTCTGAGTGCGTGCCTGTTTTAATAAATCCTGAAAACACAGTAGCAGAACCACAGCTCCCAGCTTCTATTTTTCTTGGTTGTGCTTACGTGGGGCTTCTGGGAAATGCAGTTCCCTGGCTTCTAGATAGCTCCTTCCTTAAGGCAAAGCATATTTCAGACAATTAAAGCAAATTAACTTTGTGAGTGGTGTGGGTGGCCTAGTGGTGAAGACTCTTGCTTCCCATTCAGAAGGTTGAGAGTTCAATCCTAGGTAGTGGTAGGTGTTTCTCTTCTAGAGTGCAAAGGAAAAAAAAAATACCTGCTGCAAACTCCACATAGGTGTCAGGAAAGGCATCCGGTCAGTAAATGCCCAGCTCCATCCAATTGTTCCAAATTAAGGGACTACTACGGGGTCGTAAAAAGGAAAAAAATAGAGCAAATTAACCTTGTATGTGAGCCATGTTTTTGATACAAGCATCTTTCAGTACATGGGCATTTTTCCCTCATTCTTGAGACAGTGAGATTAAAAAAGGGAGGAGAATAGCCCCTCCTGGGTCTTAATTTGAAAATTTTTTTAAAAAATTTCAGAGAAGCAAAGATTGGCTCCATGCTGCACTAAATCATATCTTGTTTTAATAATCGTTTGTTAAACAGTCTGGATTCTAACAATAGTTTACCAGACTTCCCCAACCTGGGAATCTCCCAGAACTCTTAGCTAAGAAGTTACTGCTGAGAATTCTGGGAAGTGAAGTCCATGCACGGCACTGGATGGCTCTCTTCTAAGGCATAAAGTAAGATCTACCTACAAGAATAGTTGGATCGCCAACACATGCTTTGCCACAACTGAAGAAATCATAGACATGTTTCCTTACCAGGTCCGAATTTCTGAAAGTACACTTGGAATATTGCGGTGGCATAAATGTAAACATCCCTCATTAAAAAAAAAAACACAAAACCAACCCAAATCCTTTCCTGCTTATTTTTGTTTGTGCGTGTATGTATTGCCTTGTACTTTTTAGCAGTTGGTCTTTTTTTCTCTCTTATAGGAATAAAAAATAAATATTAATATTTTGACAAAATCAGTTATTTCAATGCACGGCTGCCTTTCAAGTCAGCTGTTCTACATTAACTACAGTAGTGGCCAAAATTGGGGAAATCTTTTGGGAAAAGTGCATTTTCTAAAACTAGCTAATAACACCACTTTTTTTTTTTTGGAGTAGTACCCTAAAATTATATATCCATGGAAAGATAATTGAATCAAGAATGTAATGCAATAACTTTTATGAAGGATTTGCTATTAGAATAGCAGTTACGCTATAAAGAAGAAAAGTGAGACACATAGAAAAAACGAGATATACAAAAATGATCACCATAGAAGAAATGAGATATATAAAAATTATCACCATGTCAGTTAATATTTAGTTGGGTAACCTTTAGCATGAATTATGGCCATACAATGTCTTCCCATGGAGCGAACCAAGCCTTTTAGTTCTGCAGCTGTTATCATGTGAAACCAAGATTGCAGGATTGCTTCTATTAACTGGGTTTTATTGCTGAGTCGCTTGTGACTAACCAGTTTCTTTAGTCAGCTCCATAGATTTTCAGTTGGGTGAAGGTCTGGGCTATTTCCCAGGCCATTCCAGCAGTGGAATAGGAGTATCTTGAAACTCCAAAAAAAAAAAAGTGGTGTTATTAGCCATCAAACGTCAAAAATACACTTTTCCCAAAAGATTTCCACAATTTTGGCCACTACTGTATATATTATTATAACTATTAGCTATATATTATTATTGTGAGCAGGTATAATTTCTAAGGGAAACTCCCCTCCCCCCCCATATTCCAAATGATGGCCCAACCTACTTAAGATATATTGAAAACAATCCACTAACTCATGTTTAATGATATTTAACTTAATGAGAGCTCATTATTATTCAGGCTCCATTATTCAAATTTATGACGAGCTGCAGATGCCGTTGTTACTTTAATCTCATCAGTTAAAGATTACAGGAAGCCATAAGATAGCAAAACTATTCCTAGGGGTGTTTAAGATTAATCAAAGATTTTAAGTTAATTGTTGTGCTTGGTTAATTTTAAAAATCAACGATCTACATTCTCCCCTTTTGAAAGAAGATGGTCAATTTAGGTTTCCCTAAGGATATAGGCTCCGTTTATGCAATATGATTATGGCCAGGGGTGGGATTCAAAAATTTTAGCAACCAGTTCTCTGCTGGATTGCTGAGTGGGCGTGGCCATGGTGGGTGTGGCCTCCTCGGCCTCCTGCACCATGGCAGCGGCGGCTGACAGCTCCTGTCAGAGCTGAAGAAGCTTCTTGGATGAGAAACGAAATGTCTTCAAAAAAGAAAAAACAAGAAAGTCCAGTTGCCTCCTGAAAAAAAGCACCTTTGGGATAACCATGACCTGGATGACTGAGAATCTCTACAGACTATTTTCTTTTGTATTTCTGTATCTTATACATAATACATAAATAAATAAAACTTTGGTTAAGCATAAGCCAAGGACTACCTGTATGTCCGATGGTTGAAAAAGGAGAACATCCTTGGCCATTTCAATCTGGACGGACTTTCCTGAGTCTTGACATCTTCATTTCTTAACTCCTTAACGCAAGCAGGAATTGCCAAAAGCAATTCTGCCGAGGAAGCAAAAGGCAGCCACCGTGCCGTGCGGTCTCTCCTAAATTACCTTCTGCCACGGCAACCAATGTAGGACTCGCGGTCTGCAATAAATCCATCAGGCACAGCTGGAATGGGTCAGCGACCCTCGTCCTGCTTGG